AGAGCTAGAGGCTGGTGCCACAGTGCAAGAGCAGCTTTTAGACAGAATAACGGTGAGAGTCTGCTTTTGTGGGGCCCTCATGGGACTGATGGGACTCACAAGCTAATCTCACGCGCCTCGATCGCTCCCGCTGTCGGTAGACAGCCAATGAGGCTTTCCTCGCAGCGCGAAGAACCGATGCTCAAATCAAGCGCAGAGAGGGAGCTTTGCAAAATCTAGACCTCGGCTTTGCGAAGTATAAGGAGATCACCTCTAATCTGGAGGAAGGTCTTAGGGTAAGTCGAGAGTGAATGTCCTGACTCAAGAAACCCATTTTTGACGTTGCTTCCTCATGCGCATTTCGTTGCTTGTCCGCTCAGTTTTACAACGACTTGGCGAGAATTCTCAGCGAACTCAAGCAAGAAGTCAAAGAGTGGCACCGTGCTCGTCAAATGGACATTGCACATCTCATTGTCAGTACTGCGCCGCCTTTGTCCCGTCCGATTAAGAACGCGTGATTCTGATTGCACTGACCGCGTCTTGCTCCCTTTGCCTCCAGTCTCGCTTCCAAGGCACCTCCTTGTCCCCTTCGACCAACACAACACCGCAACGGATGCAGACCAGAAGCCAAACAGCTTTCAATCAGAGCGCACCTCATGCTGGGGCGCCACCGCGTGGGGGAGCTTGGACGGGGGAAACTATCAAATTTGATGACTGATGGCGAGGCGTTTGCTACCGCTCCATAGATGACCAGGCCATACCGCGGCGCACATCAGCGTATGCCTTTCTTGCAGCACAATGCTATCAAGCTTCAGACAAATTCAGCCTGTGTGTATGCGAGTGGATGTACCCTTTGGGAGAAATTTAGAGAGGTGTAACTTATTCGCCAAGGTCATTTCGTGGCCGATTGTGCGAGGTATAATACAAAGATTTGCAGTGCGTAAACTCGGCTCGAGGAAGGGTCCAGACTTCCGGAAATCTTGAGGCCGGATGGCCTTGAGCGTGTGGCAAAGCCGCAGGTAAGAATACAGGTGGAGGCAGGAAATGAGGCACCCAACCACGATTGGAGCGTGCGTGGAATGGCCCCACAAGTGGGTCGGCCTCGCACGCTCCAAACATGAGACACGGCTCATGCGCCGGTCTTGAATGTCGAGTCCCGCACGTCAGATGACAATTGGTCTTGGTCTCCACGCAGTGGCTGCTCCTCCCAGTTTTCACCTTTAGAATCTGGCTCGTCGGTGGGCTGTTCAGAA